TCCGGGAGAGCTGGGACGACCCTCCCCTAGCAGCTCCCCCAGCTCCTGTTGAGTAGGGGGCGAGTCGGGGGTTCCGGCCCGAAGCGCGAGCCCAGCCGCGAGCCTCCCTACTTCGCCCGCGCTGCGTCCGACTCCGAGCCCCTCCACTCTCCATCTGCCAATTCTTCCGGCCCGGGCCACCGGTCCCGTGCCTCTGCCGAGTCCCCTGCACCCCCATTTCGGTCTCCGCCCGCCACCAGCCCCGCTCTGCACCGCTCCCCCCCGTTCCAGTAAGGGGAGCCTCGGAGCAAGGGCTTCAACCCTCTGCCGGGCCGCATTCCCGGCGCTCGCTGCTTTTGCGCCTTCAGCTCCCGCAGCGGGGCCCCACCAAAGCCTCCAGTTTCACACCCACAGCTTCCGAAAGGCCCGGCCCTCGTCCACCTTAGGACAGGTTGCGGGGGCAGCTGGAGGAGAGGCCTGAGAGCAGCGTGAGCCCAGAGCGCCCGCCCCGTGATTCTGTTACAGGGCAGTGAGAGGGGCACCCCTTCATGGAGACCACCCTGTTACAATTCCCCAGGATTCTTTGTGGGGCCAGGGTCGCACGGGCCACGACGCTCTTGAGTACTCTACTAGGGCACAGGTGAAGGAGGGGAAGGAGTTATGCACTTCCCAAGGCTCTTTCTCCCAGTGTACCCCCTCCCCTCCCACTGGGGAGCAAATCTATCCTCCCCGCTCCCTAATCGGCTCAGCCCGGCCCCACGGATGTCCACCGCACCGCGCCCCCCCCCACGTCCCCCAGCTGAATCTCTGGGCACCTGGGAGTGTGGGGGTGGGGAATGGAATCCAGTTTCCCTTCCCCTCCATCTGGCCTGGTGGACAAAGGGCAGGGGGACCATCTGGTCCTGCCAGGGTGGGGGAGGGGCGCGCAATGGCGGTCCCAAGGGGGTGGGGGAGGGGCGGCGCTCTAGAGAAGGCTAGAGCCTGCTGGGTCTAATTGCATCACTTTATTTCACGACCTCCACTCTGGCTCCCTAACCCCCTCTAACCTCAGAGCTGGAGACAAGTTTGGCTGGAAAGACCCTGGGGAGGTGTAGTGCCCAGGAAGGGGGTGGGTGGGTATTAGGGAGATCTGAGAGACCAGGGGGGTGCCTCCCCTTCGAGGGGGACAGTTCTGGTTTGGGACCAGTTACAATCTGTTTGTGAACTGAGTTCAGGGCTGGCCACACCCACCCCCTGGAAGAGGGTGCCCTGCAAGGGATGGTGTATGGGGTCCCCACCTTCCCAGAGAGTGAGGGTGCCGCATGTTTGGAAAGGCACATATGCCTGTGTATGTGCTTGTATGAGGCACATGTGTATACGTGCATGAAATGCAGTGTGAGACGATCCTGCATGTCAGTCCAGAGCGGCATAGACCTCTGTGTCTGCTCCCCTGTGAAAGGTCACGTTTGGGGACACAGACCCCAAATGTGTAAAGCATGAATGTGGTCCTGCATGTATCTGTGGTCTAAGAGGCCCAGGTAGAGGCTGTGCCTGCCCTGCAGGGCAGCCAAAGGGGGTGGAAGGTAGGGGGAGAATGGGCCCACAGAGGAAGGGTGCCAGGAACAGGAAAGCTGTAAGACAAGTTGTCTAATGGATTACCCTCCACCAGATTACGTCCCTTGATTCCTGAAGTTTTTTGTCTTGATTTCACCTTCTCATTTTGTCACTGAAAGAGAAAGAGGAAGAAGAGACAATAGTCCCCTCCCCACCCCCAAGAACACAGACACACCTGCTGTGTATGTATGATGAGCAGGAACCCAGGCAGGAGGGAAGGGAAGACACAGGGGAAGAGGAGGGAGGGGAGCCCTCATGCCAGCCCCTGCAGGAAATCCAGCAACCCTGTGTGCCACTCCTGGGGTTTGTCAAGATAACAGGGGTGACTCGCCCCCTCCATGACCAACACCCGGTGGTTGGGCAGCTGCTTCAGGTGCTCAAAGCTGGTGTGGCCCATGGAGTCCTGGTCTCCATACACAATAAAAGCAGAGGTCTGGGAAAGAAAAAGAAGGCGGCATCAGGGGCCTGCCTACCACACCATCCCCAGCCTCCCGGAGGCCAACTGCAGCCCTCCCCTCCTCTCTAGTTGCGGTCTGGGGTCCACCAAATGAGGAGACAAGCTGCCTGTGGGGAGCAGCCCAGCTCCTAAGAGACAGGAGCATGGATTAGTGCCTCAGCAGGGACTGGCTGCTAAGTAAACCAAAAGGGAGGAATGTGGCGCTTCAGCTCCTCCCAGAAACCACCCCCTGGGGACCTCACCCTTAGATAAGGAGAGGCCTCAGGATGGGCCCTTGTCTGCCTGACAGGAGCATCTCAGCGCCCCCCCCCCCACAGGTACCTTCACGCTGGCGTAGTCAGCAGCACTGATTTTGTCAGTGCAGATGGGGGCCACTGGCACATAGCCCCGGAGCCGGGAGCCAGGCTTGATGAGGAAGGGCAGGGAGTACATGCCACTCAGGGACGGGCTGATCACAACCGGAGGACCCAGATCCAGGGCGTCCACCACAGCCTCCAGGAAGCTGCTGGGGGCTAGCTCTCCTATAGGGGCAGGTGCAGTTGCTTCCTTAGAGCGCCCCAGACCTGCAAGGGTTCAGGTTGGAGAGACGAAACAGGCACAAGTGAGTAGGAAAACCTGGGAGAAAGGATTCCTTCCTTGAGGAAGCCCTCCTAGGTCAATCTCACTATGTCAGTTTCCTGCAACATGCCCAGTATGTCTGACTTTATTCTTAAAACAGCCTACAGCTCTCAAGTCTGTGGCAAGCATGAGGCTTGTGCCCATTTCTCCTGCCATGCAGTGTCCTGACCAGAAGCAGGCTCTGAAGTCTGACATGCTGGGGCCCAGCTCCATTCTCCATTTATTCTCTGTTTGACCTTGGTCACATAAGTAGATATATAGTATGTGCTCCCTCAACCCTCTCACAGCAGCTCAATTTCCTCATCTGCTAAAAGAAGATAACAAAAGAGCCTGCCCGTGAAGATTGTTGTGACAATGGAGTTAACTATTTAAGAAGCAGCAGTGCCAGGGTTGGTGTGGGGTGGGTGTCCTGAGGACAGTAACTGAGAGACAGGCTCTGCACACATACCTCCCCCTCCAATTAGTGAGTCCCCGCCTTCCCCAGCCAGATTAGCTCAAGATCTTTAGTCCAACCCACTGTGAGAACCAATCCTGTGCTGACCTGGAGGCCCGCCCTTAGGCACTGAAATCATGGGCACCAGGGCCAATGAGGGGAGCAGGTCAGCAGTGCAGTCCCTTCCATACTTGGCACTGCTGTCCCAGGTTCTGATTGGCAGTCTGGGGGCTGCCCCACCTCCAGAACCCAGCTGAGGGCTTTGAGGGAGGGATCATGACTTGGGCTTAGCCGACCACGGGCCCTACCCTGCACCCAAAGGTGTCAGGAGATTCAGTCTCACTCCATTGGGTTTCCAACAGAGAGTGTAGTTGTGGCGCTTTCAAAAAGCTTACAACTGACAGAGCAATTATTAGGTATCAGGTACTGGTCACATACTCACATGGGTAATCTCATTCCATTCTCACTAGGGCCAGCCCCCCCCAAAATGATCATGGTTATGTCTCATTACAGATGGGCCATGAGCCACTGCCCCTGTTAGAAGCAGCTGGGCAGTGCAGGGTCCACCTTGGTCCAGATCAAGACTAGAGAGGCTTAAAAACCCTTGCAGTATCCACCGGCCCTGGCAAGCTCAGGGCCCAGCCCTGGGATTCCAGGGAGGCCCCTGACCCCTGACCAGAAGTGTGCCCTGGAATTACCTGGCAGGTCAATGGCCACAGCCCGGTAGCCAGCCTGGGCAAGCTTCTGCAGTGTGCCCAGGGTCTGCCACGTCTCGGAGGAGAAGCGGATGCCGTGTAGCAGCAGCACGGAGAAGCGGGCGGCCTGTCCACCGCCTGGCCGAGCCTCTCGGAAGAAGAGATTCTGGCCTTGGACCTGGATGGTGCCCTCCTGCTGCTCCACGGCCGCCATACCTGCTGCTGTATGGGTGAAGTACCTGTGGTTCAAGGCCCGGCTGATGAAGAATCACAGTACACCCTGTCCAGGTAGAGCAGGAAGGCCGCCAGGGGTGGGAGGGAGCAGTGAGGAGGCCTCCAGGAGGCTTCCGGAATACTAGAACAGGCTTTGGAGTGAGGTAGACATAGCTGCTGTTTCTGCTTTCTGCCTCTCACTTAAATGTGTGACCTTGAACCTCAACCAAACATGATTAAGTAAAGTTTATCTCAAAAATTAATGAGTTTACGCCCTCCCTGGTGGTGCAACTGGATAAAGCACAGCACTGCAAGCTAGTCTCAACCATTTCAGTGCCCACCTATTCGATCCCCAGGCAGGGAGGTGATTCATAGTGCGGCAGACCTCTCCTGACCTGCCAGCTGCTCCCCTCAACAGTGTCTTTCAGTAGATCTGCCTGTTCTGCTCCCCACTCTGTCTCTGGTGAATCCTCTCATGGCCCCTGCACCACTGGCCGCACCCCAGTTCTGTATGCATACATAAATAAATCTTTAAAAAGATTAATGCGTTTAGAAGAAAAAGGAGTTTACAAGTGAGGCACCTGCTTTTGTTAAGAAGCCAATTCATGGGGCTCCCTCTATGATTGTTGTTCTCCTTGTTAACATCCTTTTCAACAACTGGGGAAATACAATAGCACTGAACTCACAGGTGGTTGATAGGATTAAATGAAGCCACGCGTGTAAAACACTCGCGGCCGACCACTCAGTAAACAGTAAATGCTCAGTCGACAGTAAGTAGCTATTTTGCGTATCAACCCCATCCTCTTCAAGGCAGGTCCTGGGATGGCACCTCAGCCCGGAAGGACTCGGGATTGGAGGAAAAAGCCCATTTTCCGGTGGCTGAAACCCGAATGCAGAGCAGAGAAAGGCTGTGGAGTTCAGGCGGGCAAAGTAAGCACGCGGGGTGCTCGGGTCGTGTCGCTGGGGCCCACACTTTGACGCCGCGGTGCGGGAGCGATCGCCCGCGCGCCACGCCTGGCTCCGACCCGACCATGGAGCTGAGCTCTGAGCCTCTCAGGCTCAGAGCCGAGTAGGGCGCGGGGAGCCCGGGTGGGGATAAGGCGAAGGAGGGAACCTGGGGAACGAAATGGGAAGGCGAGAGAATTGGAGCAGGTGGGGTTTGGCTTTGGCTAGAGAGAGAGAGGGTCGGGGCGCAGGGCCGGTACCTGGGGAGCTGCGTGGGCTCGCGAGATAGGAGGCAGTTGAGTGCTGACTGTGGCGGGAACCCGGGACGGGTCTCAGAACTCTGGGCTGTGGCGGAGTGGAGGCAGGGTTGGGAGGGAAGGGAGGCGGGCCCGTGCTCCGTGGCTCCCTCTTGTGACCGCCAGGCGTCGCCGAGTCGCTCTGTTTTGCTAGACCCATCCTGTCACAGCATTCTCAGGCTCCCCAAACCCCTCGCGCCCTGGTGCCCCCCCACCTCCCCCGCACTAGGCTGGGTGCGGTCCCGAGGCTTTCAGCAACCTGCCCTGCCTGCACATAATGCAGCTTGAGGAGAGGGGTTCCTCTGGGGCTGCACCCCTTCTGTTCCCTGCACCCTCCTCCCACTCTCTCATCCCAGGCTGAGTGCACAGGCAGAGCTGAGCATCTGGCTTATGGTTGAGGTGCGACATGCTCAAGGTTCGGCCACTGATCAGCCAGTTGGCCTTGATCGTTTCTCTAGCACCTGCGAGCCTATCTTCTTGTCTGTAGAGAGGATGTCGCGTTGCTCACCTCGCTGGCTGGGAAGAAAGAGCCAGTCAGGCGCGCTCCAAGCTGCCTCCCTGTGGCAGGCCCCCGATGGTCTTGCAGATCTCTGAGCTTAGGGGCAGACCAGACTTATAGGTGCCATAAAGAGACGGGAAGGAGCCTGAGGCCACCCTGAGCTCTGCCCTAAAGCTCGATGCTAGGCACTGACGGCTATGGTCAGGGAAGTGGCTAGGCGGAGGGAGACCTGGGGCCCCTGTGTAACGATATCGGTGTTGACACTGCTCGGTATCACGCCAGGTTGTTCTAAGGCTTGGCACGTCTTAAGTCACGAAGACAACGCTATGTGATGAACCTTGTCCTCAACCCCATTGCACCTCGAGCGAACTTGAGAGTAGATGAAGTCGCCAAGTCCCTCTCCTAGTCGTTCCCAGGCCGAGAACAATCCGGAAAATCTGGACGAGGGGGCGGGCCTGTGTGCTTTAGGGCGCCGCCCCCCTCTTCCCCTTTCCAGCCCCCTCCACCCGGGAGCCAAGGCGACCGGCATGCGACTGCGGACTGCGCAAGCGCGTCTCCGTGGCGGCGCTGTCCCCATCCCCGTGCGGGTGGCAGCCTGCGGAGCCTCGGAGGCAGCGTCATGGTGGCGGCGCTGTTTGGCTGCTGGTTCCGCTGGGGCCGGGCCCGCCCCGCGGGGGCCAGCACGGCCGGCCCGGTGAGTGCCCCGCGGAGTAAACCGGGCAGGGTGCCCAGGGGCGGGCCACCCTTGCTCCGCCCGGTGTCCCAACGCCCTCGGGCACAGTCTTGTGGGAGGGGCAGGAACTGGGCAGAGTGTGCATGTGTTCACGTGTTGTGTGTCCACAAGAGTTTGCTTGTGATCTTGTTGTGGTCGGCATGTCACACCAAGATGTGTGTCTCTTTCTGTGTTCTTATGTTTGGGGGGGGGGGCTGGTGTCCGTAGACCTACCTACTTTTGTCTCCCCACTGTGTATTTCTGTGTGTTTCTGAGGGTGTGTGTCTCTGTGTGGGGTGTGTCTGAGGGTTTCTCTGTGTGTCCGTTTGCCTACCTTTGCATGTTTCTTGTGTGTGTGTGCGTGTGTGTGTGTAGCTTTAAGGTTGTGAGTATCACTGTGTGCTTGAGATTTGAGGTTCTGTATTTGATTTTGAGAGTGAGTGGGTCTGTCAATCTGCCTTCCTAACGTCTGGCTGTGCTTGTGATATTCAGGGTGCTATTTCAAGTGATTGATTGGCATAGGCCAGTGTGTGTACAAGGAGGTTTGCATGCAAGGGATAGCTTATGCAAAAGCAAAGTGAGGGCAAGACTTAATATTTGTGTGCGTGTGTGTCTCATGGTCAGCCAGTATGCCAGGGACCTCATGGAGACACAGCTCCCCTCACCCATCCTGTGGTGTGGACAAGACTGCTGGCTGCCTGCCCTCTAAGTTTGTCTTGGAAGCCAGCTGCCTGAATTGCCAGTGCAGCGGCTGAGGTCCCACCCCTCCTCTTCTCCCCAGGACTTCTCAGGCCCAGGGCTAGTAGAGGTCCCGCAAAGCCAAAGCAGTCTACTTGGGTAGGGACCTAGGCTAACACCACGTAATCTGAAGCTGTTCCTGGTCAGAAAGACTGGAGGAAACACACTCTTCCTCCACTCACCACCTGGCCCCAGGGCCTGTCTGGAAATATCCCCAGAGCTAGCTGGAGAGGTCGGTGGGGCTCCAGATTAGTCCCCAGTTCCTAACTCCTTTCAGGGGCCAGTTGGCACTCAATAAAGATGTGTTCAGTAGAATCTGGAACAAAGCAGTCAGGCTCAACCTAGAAGTGATGAAATGATGACAGAACAACCCCTGGTCAAATTCAATGTAAGGCTTGGGAGGGCAGCCGGGAGGTTATCTCCTCCCCCCCCCCCCGCCCCCCATTTTATTGACAAACTAAAGCTACACTGCCAGGAAGTGGCCAAGACCGTTCTCAAAGGCAGGGATTACTGTTCTGTCTAGGCCCTGGGTCCTGAAGTCTGGCTTCTGGGCTGGTGGAAGACTCAGATTGGAGAAGTCTAAGTGGGCCATTTGGCATGAAGTTTGGGGTAGGTGGGGGACCGGTAGGAGTCACCTTTCTAGCCCTCATGCTGTGCTTTCCATTTCAGTGTGCTGTGCTCCTCTCTGGCCCCAGATCCTCTCATGCCTCAGCATTTCCTCCATCACTCAGCCCTCCTGCTGCTGAATATCAGTTGCAGTAGAGCATTAAATATTCCCATCAACTGTAAAATGCATGCTGACTTCAGCATTACTTTATGAAGTGTATAAAAACAACCATTTTCATGCCCTCGGTTGGACATCACTTCACTCATGGTCTTTCACCTTTGAAGCCCTCACTACTCTGTCCATACGTAGGGCTCTAGGTTACCTGCCACTTCCCAACCCCATGGTTTCCTCCTTGGTAAAAACAAGCCTGGCTTGGTAGTTAGGAACCCAGCCCTGGTTTTAAATCCATTTCCACACTCATTACTCTGCTTTTTGGACAGGAGGATTCATTTCACTGAATCTCAGTTTTCTTAAGCATAAAAGATCTATAAGGATATCTTCCCATTGTTCTCGTGTGTATTTGTGAGCCCTTGTATGTGAAAGTTGGCTTGGAAAGGCCAAGCACATGACTATAATAGCACTCAAGAAGTGGCATTTTTTGGGCACGGGAGCATGGTGGTCACTGAGCCGGGCTACGGGTACATCTCAGATGCTCCTCAGGCTATCGGGTTTCTGAGCCATTTCCCAGGCCCATGGAGTTGTTGGACCCTTACTCAGAGCAGAGAAAGAGCAAGAGCTGGAGCTTCCAGGTGGGTTTGGGATGGGGCCCAGGACTCCATGTGGGAGCTCAGTGCCAGCCTGTTCTCCCTCTCCTTTCCTTCAGACTGTGGTAAAGACCTCCATGAATCGGTTTCAGATCGCCCTGCTAGGTGTGGGCCTGCTGCTCATGCTGCTACTGTACGTGGGAATTCCAGGCCCTCCTGAGCAGACCTCCTGGCCCTGGGGAGACTCCAATGTCACAACCCTGGCTGGTCTCACCCCTGGCAACTCCCCGATGTTTTACCGTGAGGTGCTCCCCCTCCACCGGACACGCAGGTAAGTGCTATTAAAGGGACAAAATCTAAGGGGAATCCCTGTGTGGAATCCCAGGTCAATGCAGGAGTGCTCAAGACCTGGGAAGGCAGTGGGAGAAGCCCAGGAAGAAAAAAGAGTGGGCTGCCCCCAGGCCCCTAGGACAAATGGCTCCCTTTCTGTCCACAGGGTGCAAGTTGTGCTGCTTCACGGAAAGGCCTTTAACTCCTACACATGGGAGCGGCTGGGCACACTGCAGCTGCTGGCACAGAGGGGCTACCGGGCTGTGGCCCTTGACCTCCCAGGTGAGAGCCCCCATCTCGGGGTCTGGGAGGCAGCCTCCTAGAGGGAGGAATTAGAGGGGTAGGAAAACCCCAAGGTGTGGCTGGGGGGCATCTGGACTCCACTGCTGGACAAGCAGCAGAAGGTCACATACCAGTCGGTGACACAAAAAGGTCTGTGGGGTTTTGTCTTTTTCTACCTTGAAAATTAACAGTATGGATTGTTGCCTACACAAAGCAAAGAGAAACATGACTCACGTCATGAACAACTGCATGCATCGGACTGTACTTTTCATGACAAACTATGTAGCTTTTGGTTTTTTATCTACACAAATGATTTATGCTACCATTCTTGTCACTAAAACAACAAAATAAAAACAGTGTTGCTCTCAGAGGCTCATGCCACGTTTCCCTCCTGTTCACCTCAGTAGTTTGGGGGAGTCAGGCCCTCTTCTAGGTATTTCTATCAGAGATAAAGCAATGTGCAAGATTGTGTAAGGGTTATAAACATGACTAGTGCCCTGCCTGCTTAAAGACTTGATCTGCAACTTGGTTTTCTCCCTCTCTACCATGTCTCATGGATCGTGCCAGTTGCATGACCCTCCCTCTGGATCCTTAACTCCTGCAGTGCGTCCATCAGGGGGATGGACAGATTTTACCTGGCTGCTCCTCTACTGGTGGATATGTCGGTTAATTTGTAGTTTTCAGTATCAGTTGAAATGCATACGGGGTATAGCTCAAGCATCTTTGGGTGTGCTTATTTGACCTTGGGCAGTTGTTGGATCCAACAAATTATTTCAACACATTTTAAAAGTGTTGCAAATATTACCTTACCATCCCAAAATGCTATATGGTTTTATCCTCACATCAGTCATATATGACAGTCTTAATTTCCCTGTATCTTCCCCAACAATGGGTATTGTCAGGTTTGTTTGTTTTCCGGTATAATGAATAAAATATGTTTTTCTAGTAGACCAACCATGTTACAAAAAAATAGCTCCTGGGAAGTTTGGGGTAGCATATGCCACTCACTGCTCCCCACCTCCTTCGCCCACTGTGATGGGCAGGAAGTCCTGAGCTCCCCAGCCTTCCTCAGCTGGTGCCTTCTGTTCCCAGGTTTTGGGAACTCAGCTCCCTCAAAGGAAGCAAGCACAGAGGCAGGAAGAGTGGCGCTCCTGGAGCAAGCGCTGCGGGACCTGGAGGTACAGAATGCCGTGCTGGTGAGCCCCTCGCTGAGTGGCCACTATGCCCTGCCCTTCCTGATTCGAGGCCACCACCAGCTGCATGGATTCGTGCCCATTGCACCTGTCTACACTCACAACTACAGCCAAGAACAATTCTGGGCCATTAAGGTACCAATAGGAGGCTCTCAGACGATCCTGGCTTCCTATCCCTGGCTTGAGTCATGGGGCGAGAGGACTTTGGATAGAGAGACGGGGTGTTTGGGGAAGATTTCCTAAGGAGGTGACTAGAGGGCTGGTCACCATGGGTCCCAGGATCACAGCTCCTTACCTTGCCCTGCAGACCCCGACTCTCATCCTGTATGGCGAACTGGACCGCATTCTTGCTATGGAGTCCATGCGGTATCTGCGTCACCTGCCCAACCACACTGTGGTGAAGCTGCGTGATGCGGGTCACGCCTGCTACATCCACAAGCCTCATGACTTCCATCTCGTCCTCCTTACCTTCCTTGACCACCTGCCTTGAGCTCACCCACTGTCCAGGTCCCAGTCTTGGCCTGAGTTTGGAGGGTCTGAACCAGTCCGCCCCACATCCCCACCCAGGGAGGCAGCCCTTGGGTTGGAAGGCAGAGACGAGAGAGCCCTGCCTTCTCGTTTCATCTCACAGGGAAAATAAAAAGCATTTTTGTCAGGTCTGGGGAGTGAGGGGGTCCTGTTTCCTGGTGTTGTTGCAGGTGGGCAAAGAGTAGAAGGCAAGTCTGTGACAACCTGGAGGCTGGGAGCTGGAAGACGTGCTCTTAGTCTCTCCAGGCCAAAGAGAAACTAAGAACACGGGCTGCTTCCTAACTGGCTGCCCTCACAACTCTGCCTCCATTTTTCTCTTCTATAAAATGAATGTGATGGTAACACCCAGCTCAGAAGGCAGTTTGAGGATTGAATGATTCTGGCTATGTGGAGAACTTGGCCACACAAGGCTGGGTGTTGGGTGGGAGGGGTGGGGCGTGTGTTACTGCTGCTGTATGACCCCCAGGATTGACGGGACATCCAAGTCTGAGCTGAGAGGAATGTTGATCTGTGGCCAAAAGGAGCAGGATGTGTAGTGTACGGTGGGGGGCCTGACTTAACAATTAACATAGCCTGGTTACTGAGCCATAGCCTGCTTGCCCCTGGGTACTTTGTGGGCCAGCAGCCCAGGCTTAAGCCCCAGAGGGCTCAGGTAATCTCTCCCCTCCCAGCAGCCTCCTTTGGGGCCAGAGGTCGAACTCTTTATCCCCTGCCCCTCCTCAAGCTGACTCAGCTCCTAGAACAGAGGGCGGAACTGGCTAGGAGTACAAAGGGCAGCTGGGCACAGAAGTGGGCAGCCTGTGGGTGGCCAGTGGGACATCTGTGTCTCTTTATCCCCCCAATCTGGGGACCTGGCACAGGGCTAGCCAAGAGTGTGCTGCCTCAATGCTTTCGCTTTGTTTCCCCGCCTCTCACGCTGTCATCTAGTGTTATGACTGCATCCTGTCACAGAAGCTGTCATAGCTTCCACCATCTCACACTGGTATTGTATGTGACACTGTCATCCCCACTACTATACAGATTTGCCCACACGGTGGCACGTAGTCCGGGCATCCACTCTGCACCTTGCCAGGAACAGAATTCTGCAGGTACATGAACCAACCTAGAGCTCACAGTCGGGGCGACAGATAATAACTAGGGGGTGAAGAATCAGGGAGGACCTTCGTGAGGTGCTAAGTCCTGAAAAGGGAGAAGTAGGAGACTCTTAGGAGGAAGTGGGGGATCAGGCAGGGCCTGGCTCTGCAGGATTTTGCAGCCCTTCACCCAGAGAGCTTGGGGGCTGCACGATTTTTCGCCAAGAGCCCGCCCTCATCTTTCCCGGCGCACGCCAGGTGCAGCCCATAGGGGGCGGGGCCTCCCACAGGGGCGGGGCCTCTCATAGGGGGCGGGGCC